TCTACAAAAGGTCTAGATTTTGATCTAAACTTTCCTCCCTTGCCTCACCCTCTTTCATTAGTCCTTCCTCTATTTTTGTTTGTTGTATTCTCTTCCATTACGAGAAATCATTCCACCTGTAGCAACCTTTTGAAGGTCATCCGCTAAAAGGGACGTTCTAGTATCATCCATGGTTAGAGTATCACCCACAAGTATCAATGTTTGAACTAGGTTTTCATAGGACTTCGGCAATGAAAGTAATAGCTTCAGTGCTCGGTCTTCCTCATCTACCTTCACAAAGTTTGATAGGTGTCTTCTTCCATCTTGCATATATACAATTTGGATTTAAGTAGATCTTATTTGTTAGAGTTTTCGTCATGAAATTTGTTTCTAACTTTGACCACACGTTGGCGGATGTTGCTTCTTCATTTACCAAGAATGCAACATCCCTATAGCCGCTCGTGATTCAAGGTCTAACTCTTCCCAATCCCCATCCTTCATGTCCTCGGTATTTGTTCTTTTCCCGTTAATGCCTTATGCAACTTTTGTGATATAAGCAAATTTTTAATTTGCATCCTCTAAAAAAAAAAATCATTTTTCCTATTGAATTTTTCACTTTCATATTTTCCAACTTTTACAATTCCATTAATAGATGCCATTATAATTATTTTTAAAATAAAAAAATTTTAGCACTTAAGATTTTGATGTTGGCTCTTATACCAATCAATTATTAGAGCTATGGCAACGGAAATATGGTTTCTACTAGATAATATGAAAACAATAACTTACAAATAAATAATATTTTGAGATAAACAAACGACCACTATGATAGAAATAATAAATGTAAGAAAATAAACTTTCTTAAAATAAACCTTATATGACGTGAATAATGTTTGAATAATTTATCAATATTACAACCTAAGCATAATATAATAACTTTATGCTAAAAAAAAAAAAGAATGGCCGAAACTATTCAACTAAACAAACAACACAACATGTTGTTTGCAAAATGTACTCCTTCCATTTGCTATCATACCCATTTTCATCTCCTAAAAAGTCTCTCTTTCTCTCAATTTTTAGAGAAACAAATTATATGGTTAACTATAGCCATATAGCCATATACTCCCACAGAGCCAACACCAAAATCTCAAGTAGTAAAATCTTTTGATTAAGTAAATATAATGACTTTTACTAGTGGAACAATAACAGTTAAGAAATAAGAATTTGAAGATTTAATAGGAAAAATTATTTTTCAATGTAAATACTACCTCCGTTGCTTTTTATTTACACCAAAGAGGTGGATACGGTTTCCTAGGTAAAAAAATTGTAAGGGGTGCTTAGTAAAATAAAGGGTACATGATTAAGTAGAGAGACTAGAGAGAGAGCGGGGATGATTAATAATACACTATATCACCACCAACACCCATCTCGACACCACCAACACCTCCTGAAACCACACCATCCGACCACCACCAACTGTCCGACATCCCACCAGCCCACCTATACTAACTATCCGACACCCCACCAAAACGCACATCACTAATGCCCTAAACCCCACCAAAACCCACACCACTAACGCTCTAAACCCCACCAAACACCCGACATCTCACCAACTCACCACCATGGCACCACCAACTACCAAACCCCCCCTCTCATTCCACCAGCTCACCACTACGGCACCACCAATTAACCGACCACCCTCCTTATCCCACCAGCTCACCACCACCAAATATTCAAAACCCCACCAACACCAACACCCTCCCAACAACTCAAAATCAAATCAACCCTCCTCGAAATCACCTCACAACCACCTAGAAAAATCCACCATCATGAATTACACCCCCATCCATCAAAAAAACCAACCCTAAAAAATAAACAAAAATTAAAAATGCAAATTATTACCTTTTCTCATCATCAATTAGGGCTTTAGTTGGTCGAATTCAACCCTGAAAATTGTAGATCTACAATTTTCATGTTCCAAGTTGAGCTTTAATGGTAGTGATGAAACAAAAGAGAAGGAAGAGAAAGAAGGGAGCATTGCTCGGCAAGGAGAAGGTGGGCGGCGAAGGTCATCCATGGCAGAAGGAGGAGAGAGAGTGAAATGGAATTTTGTTTGGGGTGGTGAATGGAGTTCCTCTTTCTTTCTTTATCCATGGCAGTGGATGCTTGGCACTGAGATCGAAAAGGTGAGCATGCAAGTTCAAGGAGATTATATGTGGTGGTCAGAGGAGACCAGTGGTGGTGGTCAGAGAAGACTGGTGGTGGTTGGAGGAGATGAAAAAAGAGAGATGAAATCTTGATGAGAAGTAAAATGATGATTATGTTACTGAAATTGTTTGAGGGTAAATCAAGTAGGAATCATTAGTTAATTTAAGTTAGTTAATAATTTAATAACTTTTGATTTAATGCATTAATTGAAGTTAGGAAAGATTAAGTAAGGGTATGTTGTAATTTTATTTAAAAAATTTACCTTTTTTTTTAGGGAAATAAAAAAAAAATTACTTAAAAAGGCTTGTAGCTTCCATATTTAGTATATGTTGCAACTAAAAAGTAATAGAGGAAGTAAAAAAATTAGCTTATTTCACAAAAGTTGCATAAAGCATTAGCTAGAATAGAACAAAAACCCAAGGATATGAAGGAGGAGGATGGGGAAGAATTAGATCTTCAAGAGCATCCACAATCCTATGTCTTAGAGGGAAATTGCTTACTTGTTTAACAAAGAAGCCATGGTGTGAGGCAAAGTTAGAGTACAATTTCTTGACTAAAACTCTAACAAATCGAATCTAAATAAATCTCAGATCGTACACATGCAAAATGGAGGAAGGCATCGCAATCCGGAAACATCACACCATATATGCCCAAATAGGAAATGGTTTATAACTTACCAAAGTTTGGATGGTGGCACTGCTTTAATGGGAAATGATCATGCTAGTAAAACAATAGGATTATTAGGTACTACCTAAAGGAAGATGCATGATGAAATAATAATAATGTTGAAGGATGTAAGAGAAATTGCAAGAAAAATCATATTTATCAACTTATTAGAGAAAAATGGATGCAAAATATTCTTAGCAAACGGTGTTTTAAAAATATCCTTGGTAATGATAATAAAGATTTGTCACAGTAATCTTTATCCTCTTTTGGGGACACTATTACATGTGATTTAGCTGTTGGAATCAGTAGAAATAAAGACCAAACAAAAAAGATATGGCATGTCACCTTTGGGCATAGAAAAGGTTTTATCAATGCTTAGTGGTCATGGTTTATACAGAACATGAAGAAGCCACAATTAGGCATAAATCACAGGGTGAAATTTTCTACAAGTAAGCACAAAAGTAGAGAGATATTAAAGTGTGCATCCGAAAGTTGGGGTTAGGCTAAATTTGCTTCTAAGGGTGGTTCCGGATTATTTTGTTACTTTTGTTGACAATTATTATAGGTATGCTTGGATTTATTTTCTTAAGCATAAGACCAAGGTATTCAATACTTTTAAGCAGTAGAGAGCAATGGTTGAGAACACTACAAGTCGAAAGATAAACTTGTATAATCTGATAATAGTACAAAATACACCAAGGGAGCTTTCAAAGAAATTTGTTATAAGAAATGCATTTGAGACAATGAACAATCAAAAACACATCTCAATAAAATGGAGTGGCAAAAAGACTGAATCATACATTACTTAAGAAGGCAAGGTGTATGTACTCTAATTGAATGGTGGGTACAGTCAATTGCTACAACTTGTAATATAGCGGATCAATACCCACATTCTTATTTAGATGGAGACGCACCTTATCGATGTGGAGATTCACCGTTAAGTCTTTAGGTGCTCAACTTATTATCATGTCAAGGATAACAAGCTTGATAAAAGAGCCAAGAAAGCAATATTTATAGGGTATTAAGAAAGGGTTCAAGGCTATCGTCTTTGAAGTATATAGTATTCTAAATTCTTAATACACAGAGATGTGGCCTTTGATGAAAGATCTATGGTAGCTTTATCTAAACCTATGGTACTTAACAACATTGATGTTGGAAACACTTCAAACATTATTATTTTTAAATTTATTTATTATGAATTTTTAAAGTTTTTTTTACAAAAAATTAACATTCTTAACTGTCTGGAAGATTCATAAGGGGTTGCTGTTGGATAAGCTTAGATTATCCCGAGAATTGGAAACACAAGAAAAGTCTTTACAAGATGTGCGTTAGTTGGATGACGTTGTTCCAGTACTAACCCTAGACCACATGATCCAGACTTGGTCAATGATCATATGAGGAGGCCAGTTGCAATCTAGAGTCAGGAACTTATGTCTAACTGTCCTGCTGAGTATGTAAACAGCTTCAGACAGATGTAGCTATGTCTTCTGCAGTGGTCAGCTGGTCACTCAATCCTTGCAACAGCTTGGCAATGCTGTTCTTGGCAGCAAGGAGGCAAATGAATGTGTGCAAACCTATTAAAAGATGGAGTTGAATATAATTTAACCAACATTCTAACGAAAGATACCTAAACCTGCCATCCCAGGTTTACTATAGGAATAAGAATAAGAATATAGAGCAAAAGATACTGAAGTCTACTGCTAATATATGGAGGGTCCTACGTTTAGAAGGGTTTTCATAAAAATTCTTGATTTATTTTCATACTTGAATGTCAAATGCGCAACTTCCAGTCCTCAGACTTTTCTGTTGATAACTTTTGTGAAAGATGGATCTTCATTGTCACTTTTCTCTAGATAACTTTTGTGAACACTTTTTGTCCTCAGACAGCACTCTCACCTTTCTATTACAATTAGATCTGGTTTGATGCACTAATTTAGCGACAAACAGTAACTCACGTAAGAGGGAGTTCCAAACAGAAACAATAGCAAGTCCACTTTATCCAATGCCTAAGCCCAAGTCCCCCTTTCAAAATACTAGATTTTCTCATAAAATTGCATCATTTAGGCATAGAGCCAATAGATGATAAGCAAGAAGTGCAACAAAACTATAAGTGCAGAAGAAACGACAAGAAAGGAAAGAAAACACACCAGGAGATCGTCATGTTTCTTCTGGAATTCTACTTCAGTTTCTGAAGAGTCCCAGTTGACATTAAACTCTTTTGCAATTTCCTTCAGCAGCTTGAGTTTTAATTGTCCAGATGGAGCGTTAACAGAAAGTTTCTCAATTATCTACAACGGAAAGGCCAAAGAATCCAAAGGTGAAACATAAGTTCTAGAACAGGAACATTGGAACATCTGCCACATAACCATCAAGAAAAATTGTAATGCAGAGACAAGAATTTCTCAACTGTACGGTTAACACTAGTATCAGGCCGGAGTTCAGAGACAGCTGAAATAAATTCCTTTCCATATTTTGAAGTGAACAAGTTTTTAACTTGCAGGAGGTCTGGCAAATCGGAGCACCTGGGAGCTGCAAAAATTATGCTTGCTATAGCCTCCTGCAACTCTGAAGGACATTGTCTACAACCCATATTTGCAATTATAAGTACTTCTAATACTCTAATAGGCAATAGTTAATGCTACACAAATCTTTCTTTCTATAAATGAGATAAGTTAATGTAAGGATCAGAAGCACATAAAAAGAAAATTTAGAGTTTTCTCAATGATGCTCTAAAACATGCACACAGATCTTCAATGGATGTAATGTTAAATACCTCGGAATAGAGGAGAACAAGGAGTCTTTCTCTAAAGAAATGCGTTGAGACTGAGTGATTCAATTGATGACGAAGAAAGAAAATTCTTAATTCGAATTTCCACTTTAACGACAAAAATAAGATTAATCAAATTCAATAGTGATCATTTATCAAAGAATGACTGATTATCGACTAAATGAACAACCGGGAGCAATGTACTTACGATACTTAGTTGACATTCATACATAGAAAGTATCAAATCAAATTCAATAGTGATCATTTATCAAAGAATGACTGATTATCGACTAAATGAACAACCGGGAGCAATGACTTACGATACTTAGTTGACATTCATACATAGAAAGTATCAAAAAAATTATGAGTTTGATACAACTTGTTTAAAAGAAAGACGAGTATTCCTTCTCATTATTGGACAATCATTTATTAACAAACCTCGATTTTCTGGTTGGAACAACTCAACAGATGTTTTCCAACGTCCTAAGGGTAGAAATTTAACTTATTAAAAGAAAGAACGACATAGGTAGGATGAGTGCTCTACTATTTCTACTTCCCTAACGGGTTAGGGCTTAGGGTGAGCGACAAAAGTTAGAAAGAGAAGGTCATGGCAAAAATAGTTGTTTATCATTATCATAGATATTAACTGCAAGTACAGTGATGTATGAAGTATAGTCAAGAATCCTTTGAGAACAGTCAAGAAACAATTGATAAGATAGAGCCTATTTTCATTTGTTAATCCAAAAACTATCCATCAAGCATAAAAAAAAAAAAAAAAAAAAAAAAAATCAAAATAAAAAAAAAAAAAAAAAAATGATGGGATATCTTAGGTGAATTACCTCTGACTTTCAAGAACGGGCACACGTGCAAGAACAAATTCACAGAACATTTCCAAAATCTCATATGCCTCCCTTATGTTTTGTTCTCGTATAACATGCTCCACCTTAGGAAAGAAAGGACATCATTGAGACTATAACATCTCAAATAGTTTGCATTAATCTAGGAAGAATAGGATAATACAAGCAGGAGCAATTACCCGGATTCTGGCAATGGCCTCTTGGCCAGTCAGCAAAAACTGGGCTATCTCCTTGCGCATCTGCTTGAGTTGGGCATCTCTTCTATTTTGCAGCAATTTGATACGGGAGATTGCCAAATTTAAGCATGTTTTGCTACAAAATAGATATCAGCATAGTCATTGATCAACATTGATAATACTAAAAACACACTCAGTTAAAGAAATTGCAATTATACAATTATAAAGTCTATTATATTGACTGGATGCCAGAAAATACTTCCACAAATCCATTCACTTCCAACAGTTTAATGAAGGGTAGAACACTAGAAACCTTAAAAAAAAAATTAAAAAAAAATAAAAAAAATAAAAAATTAAACAAGTTGGATTTTTCATAAAATAAACACAAGTGTCGACAAATACATCACAAGTAAAACCCTTATTCTGGGTGCATTTCAGTAACTTGAAAACATCTCACAAGAGTCACAACTGTTACATCAAATCTGGCATGTCCTTAAATCTATAATCTTTGTAAAAGACCAATCAGGACACAACTTCCCCAGCCTCCCCACCCCCCCTGCCCCAGGCCCCAACTATAGGACTCTGTATCTAAAAATTTGCTACATATGCATCAAAGATAAAATATGTTATTGAATAAGAAAATGACGGCCCATAACGAGTGGCAAAGGAGGTAATAAACTGAGTTTCAAAATCAAAGCTCCTCTAATTACTATCTATTCTTCACCCTCCCTTACTACCCCCTTGGTAGCTAAAAGTATACAAGTAATGCCAATATTAAGTTTGGGCCATGTACTAATGTGCAAATTTCTGAAAGGCCTTTGGCACTAAGTTACAGTACATTTAAATGGAAAGACATATTAATCCCTCCCTTTTTTTTAATCATCTTAGTTCTTACTTTCTGGTTAGGTGTGTTCTAAATTAATCTTCCTACAATTTCAGAATTGCTTTATTCTTTGCATGGCAAAGAAAATTCTCCCTTTTGCCTTTTCTCACCCAACAACCACATGAATACACTTATACTATTTAATAATATTTATGTCTCTAAACAACTTTCTCTTTCCAACCTTGAAAGTAGAAATGAGACCCACTTTTCACTAACTTTCTCCTTTACCTCGTTTCTATTGCTGCAATTTAAGGGACGATTAAAAAAAAAAGAACAAAGGGAATAATAGTTATAATAATTATCAATCGATATATTTTCAGGATATAAATAAAAAGATAGCAAACCCTATGCTCATCGTTACATTTATCAATCTACAGAATGGAGGGAGTACTGTAAAATGAGCAGATAAATATAAAGGTAGCAGAAAGCATTACATTTATCAATCTAAATATTAATAATAAGCCACACATTGTTTAGTTGACACACCTCTAGGATGGAGGGGAAAAAAAAAAAAGCATTATCTAATAATCCACTTTTCAAATGTGTACAAATAGCAAGATTGGATGTGATATATAATTTCTCCATTTTTTTATGTATAACACACCCCTGGGCACGCATTTTAAGGAAGATATTGTAGGGGGTAAACGGACATATTATTTAAAATAACCCTACTACTGATTAGAAAGGATCAGGTCATTAAGGTTTAAATTAGTTCAATTAATATGTCCATTTCCACTCAATTCTCTTCATTAAATTACGAGCCCATGTGGTGAGAAAATTAGCAATCTCGATATCATACTAAATATAAATGAAACCAACAAAAGGAGATAAAAAAAGTAATCTCGATATCATAACTAAATTCTACTTAGATCACTTTAAAGGAATATAATCTTTATCCTAGTTCTTCCTTGCTCTATCCTTCACATAAGCATTTTTCTGATATCTTTTTACCTCTCCTCTTCCATTATTTCTCCCACATCAAAGAAATAAAAAAAAAAAGTCATACAGAAATCAGTCCCTGCATCTCAGAAACTTCTCCCAATGAATGGAAATAACTGTTCTCCGAATAGTGTGATCAGAATTTGAACCAGCAATTTGCTAATCAAAGTGATGGTGGAAACAAAAGTCACTTCAGAAATCAGAGTTACCTTAACTGCACTTTATCCTTCTCCAATCAAGACATACAACATCAATAAATTTCACAAGACATTGTCATCACATCATAGCAAAATATAGTCATTACGGATTCCTTTCGCATAGAAGTACAGAACCAATGTTTCTGAGGTCCCTATCTACGGTACAAAGGAGTAATGAAATCTAGCCTTGTGATGGAAAATATTCATCAATTAATCCCTAATTGAAAGGCATATACCACATTTGTCAAGTGTAACTTCAGTGATCATACCCAAACGACAGGCTTTACGAGTCATCAACGTTGAAAATTTCCTCCTAAAAACAGTATGTCCATTTTCAAAATAATTTTACTTCATCAAAATATGATTACATTATCAAACTGAAATTAGAAAATCGCGATCTTTCATGAATAAGTAATCCAATTTTCTAATTAGTAGCAACAGCAGTAATCACAGCATACAGTCTAAGACAATTATACAGAAAGCAAAGAATAAACACCCGCAACACACCAATTCAAATATCAAATTATTAACTAAAATTCAAATCAATAAGAACTAGTAGGAGCACTCTACATCAAAATCAGGATGAAATTTTATTAGAAAAAAATTACAAAAAAAAAAAAGTTATTGAAAGAATCTAGCAACAATTGAAATACAAAAGCATAATTTGGTGAATAAAAGAAGGGTGAGTAATCAACTTACCATCTCGTGCCGAGAACACCCCGATTGAAGAGCTGATTCAAGACTGACATTGAATCAAAATCAGAAATAGTACAAACCCTTTCGAAATTTAGGAAAGTTTTGTTTTTTGCTAATCTTATTGCAAAATTTGTGGGTGGATTAGTTGAATTTTGATTGAAGAGGTGATTAGCAATAACCACCAATTCAATGCCGAGGGATTGGCCGGAGCCGGAGTACCAACTCAATTTTCCAAGCTAATCTCCTAATTAACAAAAGAATGGGTGTTTATTCCATTTTTGGTTTGGTTTTCAGTTTAATTCATTCCAACCCAAAATATAATCAATAACTATACAATAAAAGACACACCATCAATGACACGTATCATTTTCTGGTGTGTCACACAAAAAACAAAAAATTATTTAGGAAACAAATTTTATATATAAATAGAAGATTAAAAAGATTTAATGTATCCTTCCACTGTATATATTGATACCATAAGCTAAAGTTAAAAAACTGAAAATCTAATTCTTAACATAACTTGTGACATAGATAGTATATATACTACTCTTACCATTTTTACAACAAGGATTATTTTTTTTAAAATATTTTTGTATTTAATTATATTTGAAAAGCTTGCTAGGAAAGATATGAATTTTTTTCTAAGCCAGTTGATTATTGAAAAGAAAAATAAATACCGCGTAAGAGGGAATGGATTAATAGTGTATAAAAAGTAAATCTATTAACGAATTAGATACATAGTTGTAAGATATTCATTTGATTAAAAGAAGAAATGAATTAAATTAGTTAGTGAAATATATATAAATATACATATATGTGTATTTTAAATTTTCTATTTTGCTAATAATAAACTCTTTCATAATTAATTCATTTACAAAGTAGTAACTTAAATAGATTTTTTTTGTATAATTTAATATAGTGTTAATAATTATAGAGTAGTTATTGAAAATTACCGTGCATGGCACGGGACCTAACCTAGTTTGGTTATAAAAAATTAGACAAACTTTTAAATAACCGTTTTTTCACGAAACATCACTGAGTTTTAACAAAATTCACCAAATACCATCAACTTTTTTCAAATTCACCAAATACCAATTTATACACATTATCACACAATGCCTATTTTCTTAACGGACGTTATCTTGCTGTTTGTGTAATTTTACAAATTTGCCCTTACTTCTTTAGTGGCGTCATTTAAAGCATTGACTCTTCCAAAAAAGCACAGTACACTTCGAAAAAACTGACCCTTGCCTTCATCTCCTCCATTAGCGCACTCTCTGTTCTTCAGCAGCACACTTAAACCCTTAAAATGGATCAAAAAGCTTCAATCTTTTGAAGATTTAAGGCATACTTGGAGGAGAAAAGTAGTTTGGCGCTTTAAATTGAACTGGAATCGCAAGATCACGTCGGTAGCCGGAGGTTTTGGTGATTGTGACTAAAATTCCAACCAACTCATGAACTGGGCTATTCGAAGCTTAAACAAGGTAAAATGTTGTAAATCGATCTTCATTTCGAGTGGTGATTTTGTGCTTTTTTTTTTTTTTTTTTTTTTTTTTTTTTGCAAAATTGAGTTAGGGTTAGGGTTTTTTTTTTTTTCAGAAATTGAGTATTTTTATGTGATGTTGGGTTTTTTTTTTTTTTTTTTTTTTTTGCGAAAGTGCTTTAGGGTTAGTTTTGCTTTGCTGTGATTTAATGCGAATTGTTGTGTGTTGATTTTGAAATGTTGTTGTTTGTAATTGATTCGTAGGGAGTGCATTGTGGCTTTTAGTTCATTATAGGAGGGATGCGTTTGATGTTAGGGTGGATGACACTGATAAGACTAATTTGATGGAGTTATTTGAGAACATGTTTGAGGATTCAGTTAAGTAGAATGTGTACCTTCCTAAATCATTCACCATGTTTGTTGCTAAACTTAGAACTAACCGTAAGTTGAAGTTTGTGGATGATGGGGCTATGTTGAAAATGTGGGAATGGAATGAAGGGAATGAAGAAATTGAGGTTTTCATAGAGGAAACAGGTACACCATCTCTTGTATTTAAGTCTGCTGAATCTAGTTGGGCAAAAAGGTTAAAGAACAGGCTGAGAAGATTAGGTTAAGGGAGGAAAAGAATAGGAGAGAGGTAGAGCAAGAAGAAGTTGAGAAACAACTTAGAGAACAGCAGCAATTCACTATAGCTGTACAAGTTCCTGTAGTGATAGCAAAGGACAGTGAGGTTGAATATGTTAGGGTATTTAACACTGCAGCTTCTGATGAGGTCTTTCCTGGCCATCACAACTTGAGCCATCACAAAAAGAATCACCCCCACACAAACAACCTACACATCCACCAGAAACAAACAAGACACCTACTCTAGCTAAAAAAACTCCTAGGAGAAAGAAAATTACACCTAAAAAGAAAAAAAATCAGTCAACCCAACCAATACAACAACCTTATCCACCTAGGCAGCTTACACCACCACCTACAGATCCTGACTAGGGACAATATCAACTAACAACTGTTGTGTTTCGTAGTGTCCGACACTACGCGGAATGAAACCTTCCCAATATCTGTACACAAATTAAAGTAACTAATCATGTATATTAATTAATTAACAATCACATAATTAATTAACAGAGAGAGAGAAAGAAGGAAAGACGATCTTACCCTTGACGCGTGCTTCGCTCTTTCTAAGAGCTCGTACTTGAAAGCGTTAAGCTCCGCAAATGCGCAAGCCTCCGACGACTCTCACCCTCGAGACCCGACCCGAACGGCCGCTACCCCGAAGCTTAATCGGGGCTAGACCAAGAAAACTTAGAGTATTGGAATTAAGGTATTCTCTTCTTGGAGATCCTTTAAAATTCACAACTCAAGTGTCCCTTCCCAATGCCAAATGATTGGTACTTATAGGGAAATGAGCCCTTGAATTCCAATCTCCCATCAATGTGGGAGAGTTGGTAAAATGCACTTTATTCAATTTATTTTAATTCAAAATCAAATTGAAATGCAAGTGAATCAACAAACGCCAAGTGTCAAGAGGTGAGCAAGGGGTTAGGTGAGGACCACAAGGGGGGACCATCCTGTAATCCCCCATGATTTTGTAACTATTATAATTATATTTTATTATTAATTATATGATTATTTTACAATAATTTTATATTATTTATAAGTATTTTGAAAATAATAAATTAATTTTAAGTTATTTAGTCATTACTAGCTATTGCTAATATCATTCTACTGTACAAATTAAGAGCTTAGTCCAAATTACCTCAAGCCCAACTTTACATCTTATTTCTAAACCTCGGCATATATTTGGGCCTAAACAAGTCATCCTAATTATATTTGGATTAGGAAACCCCAAAACCCACTTCTTACTATTTATACCCACCTACAATAATTTCCCCTTTCACTCCAAACCTCATGTAAGTTGCTGCTACTACTGCCTTCCCTTTTGCTTCCCCTTGTTTTCACAACTTCAAAAAAAAAAAAAAAAAAAAATTCTGCTTGCTGCCCGACGACACCACCACTGTTGCTCCGACGACCACCTCCTTAACAGCAGTTCGCCCCTCTCTCCTTTCTCTTCTTTTGTTAATTCAACCCAAGTTTAAATCTTTATCATTTTTGTTATTTAATTGTTATTATTATGGTTTGATTATGTATATGAATTATAGAAGATTATAAATTTTGAGTATTATGTTTTAACTATGAAATAAAATTTCAGATTTATTTAGTTAAGAAAATTAGGGCTTAAAACGGTTAGTTTTCATGTTTTAGGGTTTTAAACGTGTTGTTAAAGTTATTTAATTAAATCATGATTGTATTGTAAGTCTACTATGATAATTGATGACGTTAAATTCAAAAGCAAATTTTCAGTTTTTCGGTAATCAACTTTGATCTCCGTTCTTAATTTTTTTTAATCACGTTTAGATTCTAACCCTCTTGTGGCCAAAATCAGCCTCTAAATATGGTTTTCGGGCAGTTTTTGATTTTTTTAACGAAGGTTTAATATTTAAAATAAATTTTTAGATTTTTATAAAGCTCTAAACTTGCTGTAAATTCATAAATAAGTATGTATTTTAAGGTTTTTATGTAGAAAATTTTAAGAATAATATATAAGCTTTTAATTCTAGCAAAAAAGAAGGTTTTAAAGTGTTGTTTAATTGAATTTTAAAGGTTTGATTGAGTCTTTATGAAGCTAATTGAATTCTAATTATATATTTCAAGTTTAGATTGTTGTATTCATACATTCTACTATTAAATTAAATTTTCAGATTTTTAATCTTGGTTTTAAAGGTTTTAAATCATGGTTTTATGATGGAATTTTAGGTTTTTAACATATTAACCTACTACATAATGATTATTTCAAGAAGAGATGTTTATGAGGTTATTTTATATTCTTAAATTAAATTTCCAGATTATAATCCGTACTTTAAAGTTGCTGGAATTTTATGTTATAAGCTATATTTTCATGATTTTAACATATAGACTTATAATTGCTAATGAATTATTATTAACTTTGACTATTGTGAGTAATTTAAAAGCATTATTTCAATGGTTTAAGGGGTTTTAAAGTAAGGTAGTATTGCTATAAATTATATTGCTTGGGTATTGATTGAATTATTATTGTTTGGTTTAGGAGAGGGCTTTGTAGAAAGCGATTTTTAGTTCCTAAAGTGGTCAACCAACTCGTTTACTCAAGGTACGTACAAGGATACGAAAACCTTGACTCTAGAAGCATGTTTAAGGATTTGGAAGACTTAGAATCATTTTAGGAAACTTGTGGATTGGTTGGAATTGTATGGTAGTAAGTTTGATTGGTGAATAATGTGATGATTGGTTTTGTTTCATGTATGAGAATTGTGTATTAATTTATCTTGTAAGCATTATTTATGCATTAACTTGTAAGATGAGCTTAGAGGCAAAGGTACATGAATATGTGGAATGAATTATTTTATTACTCGTTCATGATTATTGAAGTGGAGTGAGTAAAGGGAGAATTAAAGTCTCATAAGACGAGGTTGAGGATTGAGGTGCCTTATGCACTTAAGGTGTTTATACACCGAGGTAGTTAAAGGATTCATCACTAAATATTGTTTGTCACTAATAAATCAAGAATTGAATTGGAAAATTTGAATTGCTAGAATGATTAATGTTTGATTGGTTGTATTATTTTGCATTAGAGTCATCACCAAGTTTAAACTGGTAAATCACGTAAAGTGCAAGAAGGATGAGCAATAAAACTCTGGATTTGTGCACATCTGGAGTATTGACAATCAGGGGTTGGGGTTCACGGGGTATTGGCTGTGTACTTTCTAGAGGACGTCTGATCTA